AGAGTCATCACCTAAATCTATTTCTTCCACCGCGGGTACAACAGGAAGCGGTGAGCGAGGGAGTGCGGGAACACCGCTAGGAGAAACAACCGGAGCGGTCGGTTTGGGAAATGTGGCCACCGCGTCGGACAGACAGTCATCATCTAAATCTGTTTCTTCCACCGCGGGTACAACAAGAAGCGGTGAGCAAGGGAGTGCGGGAACACCGCTGGGAGAAACAACCGGAACGGTCGGTTTGGGAGGGATCCCATAGTTCGGCGTCAGCTATCCCCGTGCGAGTGAAGCGCTCGGTGCGCCGAACATAATGTGGCCACCGCGTCGGACTGAGAGTCATCATCTAAATCTGTTTCTTCCACCGCGGGTACAACAAGAAGCGGTGAGCGAGGGAGTGCGGGAACACCGGTTTTTGAAGCAACCGGAGCGGTCGGTTTGGGAGGGATCCCATACTTCGGCGTCATCTATCCCCGTGCGAGTGAAGCGCTCGGTGCGCCGACATAATGTGGTCACCGCGTCGGACAGAAAGTCATCACCTAAATCTGGTTCTTCCACCGCGGGTACAACAAGAAGCGGTGAGCGAGGGAGTGCGGGAACACCGCTGGGAGAAACCGGAGCGGTCGGTTTGGGAGGGACCCCATAGTTCGGCGTCATCTATCCCCGTGCGAGTGAAGCGCTCGGTGCGCCGAACATAGTGTGGCCACCGCGTCGGACACAGAGTCATCACCTAAATCTGTTTCTTCCACCGCGGGTACAACAAGAAGCGGTGAGCAAGGGAGTGCGGGAACACCGTTGGGAGAAACAACCGGAGCGGTCGGTTTGGGAGGGATCCCATAGTTCGGCGTCAGCCATCCCCGTGCGAGTGAAGCGCTCGGTGCGCCGAACATAATGTGGCCACCGCGTCGGACAGAGAGTCATCACCTAAATCTGTTTCTTCCACCGCGGGTACAACAAGAAGCGGTGAGCGAAAGAGTGCGGGAACACCGGTTTTTGAAGCAACCGGAGCGGTCGGTTTGGGAGGGATCCCATACTTCGGCGTCATCTATCCCCGTGCGAGTGAAGCGCTCGGTGCGCCGAACATAATGTGGTCACCGCGTCGGATAGAAAGTCATCACCTAAATCTGTTTCTTCCACCGCGGGTACAACAAGAAGCGGTGAGCGAGGGAGTGCGGGAACACCGCTGGGAGAAACCGGAGCGGTCGGTTTGGGAGGGACCCCATAGTTCGGCGTCATTTATACCCGTGCGAGTGAAGCACTCGGTGCGCCGAACATAGTGTGGCCACCGCGTCGGACAGAGAGTCATCAGATAAATCTGTTTCTTCCACCGCGGGTACAACAAGAAGCGGTGGGCGAGGGAGTGCGGGAACACCGCTGGGAGAAACAACCGGAGCGGTCGGTTTGGGAGGGATCCCATACTTCGGCGTCATCTATCCCCGTGCGAGTGAAGCGCTCGGTGCGCCGAAAATAATGTGGTCGCCGCGTTGGACAGAGAGTCATCACCTAAATGTTTCTTCCACCGTGCTCTGGTAACAGTATTCAGCGACACTAGCGACCCCTATAGGTCGCCGGAGTCGCGAAATAGTCTACCCTTGGTATGGAACGCGAGCTTGAGCTCCCCGTGCTCCGAGCTCCGGCGAACTAACACACTCGGCCACTGGAATCTCGGTAAAACCTAGGATCCAGTGACTTCAGGTAAAACGTCTGCGTGTATGAGAATAAGAAATAAACCAAGGTTTGGTTGGCTTGAGCCATACAATATGAGTCAAACTGTCAACTGAAATTGAAACGTTTCATTGAAATCATTGGCGAGGATAGCGTACGAGTGGTTGCTATGTTAACGTTCTGAACTGTATATAGGCCGAATGTTTTATAAAGTTAAATTTTCTGGAGTCCTTAAGTTCATATAATCTCGCTCGTCACGCCAATCTTTCAATGCATATGGCCAATATCTTCAAAACATAATTTACTATCTCTCTCTCTCTCTCTCTCTCAATGCATATATTAAAATGCAAATATTCTTATCAGTTAACGCAATGAAAATTGGCAGAACCCCCCCTGCCCCCCCCCAGGCACTGCATTTCACGAACTTCATAAACCTTTAATATCTAAGTTTAAAAAAAAGCACAAGGAGGGGCTGCCGATTGACAAACCCCACGTGCATGCAGCGTCATTGAGTTTCCTTTTATTCTAAACTATTCTAAGTCTGATAAAATTAAAACGTTTTGGCTGGCATCAGGACAATTTCGACAAAACCCTTTCGTTGAGTTAGGCAGTTCTAATGGGATCTAAATGTCCTGCAAAGATTCCGCACTCTCAGGAAAATGCAGGCTCACCAAAAGCTCTAGCTGAAGGGTGCTCTTGTATAATAGTAAATCTTTTTGCGAATTAAAAAAAAAAGTCCCCTAGAATATTTACCGTGAAAATCCGCACGGCTAGGTATCAACGCCGATATCAAATAAAAATGCAATCTCCAAATATCGCTGTACCTCAAATCTTCATTAAGACACCCTGCGCGATCCTAAGCTTTATTCAGCGCATATTCGCTGTTTTCTGAATTAGCATTAACCGGGTCCGCAGTCACAGTATCCTTCCTCGTCCCCATTTGTTTTCTTTTTTGCATTTTGCCGCATTTTAAAGCTATATGTTTGATTGCACAGCTTGAAATGTCGCAAGCGGCGGCCTGTGCAAATATTGGACGGTGCCGCGTAATTGATACTTCAGCCGCGAGTACCCGGAGCTGGATTTCCATCGTGGTCCCATTATCTTGGTCTGAACGAAATGAAGAGCTGCTGTGTGTTTCTCGGTCTTATGTTCGCCTGGATATTGGACTCTACCGCAAGAGCGTATCAGTGTAGTGGTGGGTATTCCGGATTTTCGTATTCACCGAAAAGCATAGAAAACCGTATTTTTTTGACAAAGCGACGAGAAAGAAATTATCCGCCTGAAATGAAATCAGGTTTTTGGCTGACAAGGTTAAAACCTCCATTTTAACAGGTTTTTGGCGTTTATCGAAAGAGAGTACGGAGTTGATCTGAATGTACCTGGTACAATTGAGAAAATGAAGTCCGACTTTTCGACCCAGATAAATAAGCTATACTTTGCAGAAAGTTGAAACTCCGTGAGAATGTGACGCTAGCGGGGGTGATAGAATGCGAAAGTTGTAGTACATGGCGCTACCTGGCTCAAAAGTGAAAATAGAAAGACGAGGTTTCTCTATGAGCCGACGTCCAGCTAAGACTAATATCGTCAAAACAAGACGTGACATTGTGGTACTGCTTTGTCATTCTTGATGCGCTTGCACGTAACTTTTTTGTCCAGCCCATCCTTCATCATGAAATGAATAAATACATTTTTTTAAGCTAGCCCGGTTCTGCTGTTTATGGTTTAGGTCACAAAAAAGCCGATTTTATAACCTTGGCAAGCAATATTTCTTTACTATGTTTTTGTAATGGTGGAATAAACACCTTGAGCCTGAGGCACAAACTGGCAAGAAGAGGACATTTGTGGAGCTGAGTGTTTTCGCATTTTGTTTTTTCTTGTATCTAGACAAGACTTACCTAATTTTATTTATTTATTTACACATACTACTGCCAAGGCAGTAGTATGTATAAAGCCAAGGCAGGAGATGGCACACAGGGCAACACACAAGAAGAAAACTATATTACACGCTAGTGAAAGAAAAAACATCTAGGACTGCACATCTAAGAAATAACGCTGTAATGATAAAGCAAATTCCTGAACGGACGAGACATTGGTAATGTTGGCAGGGAGACTATTCCATTCGTTAATGGTTCCTGCAAAAAAGTAGTTTTTTAAACATTGGGTTCTGCTGTAAGGTACCACAATTGTGTTGGAGTGCTTATGTCGTGTGTGACGGGATTTGTCAAATTGCATAAATCTGTCGAATGAAAGGCGAGATGAGTCATATACAATGGTATACAAAAGCGTTAGACGATAAGTTTGCGCCAGGTTGAAAAAAGCTCAATTTTCGACCTGTTGTACAAATCAGTGATAGAGCTCATTCTTCTGCATTCGTTGTAAATGAAACGCAGTGCTTTCTTCTATACCCCCTCGAGTCGATCAATATTAAGTTTAGTCGCAGGGTCCCAAACAACATCCGCGTATTCTAAAACAGGTCGTATTAGAGTCGTGTAGATTGCAAGCTTTGTTGCAGGGGTACAGTGCTTCAGCCGCCTCTTCAGTGACCCTATAGCTTTGCTGATGTCTTCTGAGCAGTCCAGGATATGTGGCTATTCCAGCTGAAGTTCGAAGAGATAATGACACCTAAGTATTTGAATTCGTGCGCAACTTGTAAAGGGGAATTTTGTACACAGTAGTTAAATACCAAGGGTGACCTTTTGCGCGTTACTCTCATTTGTACATTTTTCGAGCTGTTTATCACCTTTTGCCATTCGTTACACCATTGAGAAATTGATCACAGGCACTTGTTTAAATTAAGTTGGTCATTGCTTGAAGCTATTTCAGTATAAGAAGCACACAGTCATCTGCAAAAAACCGGCAGTGCATATGCTCATCAACCGTGAAATCGTTTAGAAAAACAAGAAAGAGCAGTGGGCCCAGCACCGATCCTTGTTGAATAAATATCAGGGCCGAACAAACCATGTAAAAAAAGAAAGCAAACAGCTTCCCAAAAAGATGGGTTTGCGGGATCATGTTATACGCTGTCTAGAGTGGGTCCAAGAACAAAGATGTCGTTTTCAGCTCAGAAGTTCTTGGCAGTTTTGTGGAAGGTGCCGGCGCCTGGGTTTGGAAAGTGCGTCCCTTGCAGGAGTGTTCGCGCAAACGTATAGTTGGCCGGACCGGGCTACACTTCCCCGTCTGTACCTTCCAAGCCGCTGCACATACCGTACGAAACTCCGTTTCGTAAATTTGTAAGTGTTCCGTATCGAACCTTGTCAAATAAAAGTACGATCTACTTTATGTGATGAAGGCAAGTTTAAAATTGTGCAAAGCACAAAACAGAAGCGAGACTCATGGATTTGCAGAGGTGACTGACGCCGTTCTGGAGCAAGCTTTGCACTGTGTCCACAAGATCTTGGAACCCAATGTGAGTATCTGTAGATGTTTCTCTCGCTATAAGTTGAAGTCGGAAATCTGATGACGTATACTTCCGTGCAGATGACAGAAGAGTTCGAGAAGAGCAAGGCTTCCAAGGGCTCCGGAATGACAGACCTCGAGTACGTCAAGAAGGAGTGGGAGAAGCCCTGCACATCTGAAGACAACAGCATCGTACGGACACCCTTTATTTGTCGTATTTCCTCACCATGTGCGTTGTATATCATGTACGCACAGTTGGGTTGTTGCAACAAACCAAGCAGAGATTCCTCGTGCCAATATATGAACCGTTTTACATTTTTAGCACAGAATTCGGGCTGAATTGTGTGCGACAAGAGTAACACTCGAGTGTGACAAAAAACGTTACACACACGCCAAGGCAACAAAAATCATGCACATAGCCCAAAGCAGAGGATGCAAAAGCAACCAAAGTATACTTAGTCCTAACCATTCGCAGATGACCATAATCACGCACAATTATTCGAAACGAGCGAGATTCACTTAGGGGCTCAGCGGGAGCCGAAACCCGGACCAGGTACAATCTGCTCGGCGCCACAAGAGGGTGACGAAACGGAGCACAATCACCCGGACTAAGTACGACTTTCTACCGACGGTTGCCTGCGGTAGAGCTCGACTGTCCGCAGCGAGTGATCCTTAGTCCAGCATACTTATTACGCAGGCGGCCATCAAATGCGAGTGATACTTTGTCCATCATAATTTCTGCGCTGGCGACCGTTGGCGGCGAGCAGGGTGTCGAACCGGAACCGAACCGAACCGAAAACCGGAACAGAACCGTTATTTTTAGCCGAACCGGAACTGAACCGAACCGAAATCTTCGCCGCCATCTTGGAACTGAACCGGAACTGAACCGGAAAAAAATATAACGGTAACCGGTTCAAAACGGTTCGTGGTATTTTTTTTTTGTTAGTATTACAAATTTATTATTTGGGAATAAAAAAACTGGCAGCTGTGTTCCTATATTGATCAAATCGTCATATACAGAATTGCAATGTATAATAAATCCTGGTTTTCTGCGGCGCTTTCTTATTGGCACTGTGATTAGCCATGTGTCACATCGTCACGTGACGTCATGATGTCAGGACATGCTGTCAAGTAATGTCACATCACGTGACGTCACGTGACTCACCGCGTAGATTCAAATTAAGGACGTCGCTAGATCTATTAACGTTGTTGATACCGTGACGTCACATGACATCACAACTTCGCACTGAGAGTCGCGTGACACAATGATGTACCCGATTGTCATGATCCCGAGTCGAATGCTCTGGTTCATGACAACCAGCATCGCCAAACATTCGGGTGACGGCTCGTGTTCAACTCAAAGATTATGATGGGCCCGAGTCCCACTAGAACTAGAAACAGAAACAAACGACAGCGACAAGCCTCAGACACATGCAGCATGTTCGCGATGGTACCTTTATCCGGCTTTGAGTTGTTCGGTGCTCGAGAAGTTAGCACAAGCGTTTACAAGCCTGCAAATGGTACCATCGTGTGCATGATACTCATGTTTGAGCATAGCCTTCTTTATTCTACGAAGCCTGTCAAATCGCGAAATACTCTGGTTTAAGGCTAGCCGCTGTCGTTTGTTTCTGTTTGTCGCTTTAGTGGGGCTCGGGCATTGTAGCCCAACTAAAACTATATCTGAAGATCAGCCCATGCTCTCTGCTTTGCCAACCCTGCGTATGACTATGATAAACACTGACGGTGTGTATATTAGGATCAGATCGCGTGGCTGATAGTTCTAATTGCGAGTTGAGGAGGGGAAAGCAATTTCATTTCTTTCTTTCGACTGTCTTCCATTTCGCGGAGGGGCAAACTAATGGATGCTTTTGTAAGTTATCAACGTCAGGGATTACATTTTAGCGGTATTTATTGAACTTAAGGTAAAAAAAAATGCTGCACGACCCATTTTACATGTATGCACACCCTTGAGGCTCCCAAACATGTTTTCGTTATTGCTGAACTGCCTCAAAAAGTTGTCCCGAGAGTAGAAGTGTTAAAGGGTCTAAATGTGACGTATTAGTCCGACGTTACATGAAACTATTAGTGTGTACGGGAGGGATACCTGAAAAGAAAGATCCTAGTGGCCTCAGGGGGATAGCAGCCGCTCTAAGTCTCACAGGAGTGTCGTTCTCAAGTTTTCCAAGTTTCGACCGCCCTGTATTTTGTTTAAACTTCACAGTGTGGTGCAAAGTAAAAGCAAGGAAGAATTACTGTTAACAAGTGACACAAATACAATTGTCGAGTGAACACCACTCAATACGGAGCAGGCAATCCCTGAGGAACAAAAAGTATCTTGAGGAGCAACTAAAAAAAAAAAAAAAAGGGAGTGGGGAGGGGAGTAGTTTTAAAGCATACTGTGTCGTAAGGATTCCTCTGCCCCGCATTTTCGGCGCAGACTACAAAGCGTGGCCTGGAAACGGTAGTGACAGATGGGCAGTTGGTAAAACTTTTATTTGTAAAAACACTCTTGCCAGAAAGCACGTTTTCGTCGTGCGAGTTACTCGCGCCGTGCCTAACGCCGATGCACCAACAAGAAAAATGTGTGCCTCTCGAATACACAGCTTGCACTGAGCGCGAAACTTTTGCAGCGTGCATTTTGCCCCACCGAATTTGATATTCTCAGCAAGAACAACTCGCAATGACAACCAGTATCTAGTGCGATTACGTCACGCGCAAACCATGTTAAATACTTCAGCTTTCTGGTGAAGTGCGACGTTCGCAACACCAGCAGTAGACGTCCAAGGTGTAAAGTTGTGTAGTATTTATAGCAGTCTCGCGATGATATACGGCAGCCTAATGAGATGTTGGAGCACATGACTGATAAAGAACAGAGTCGTGAAGTAAGGTTCCTAAACAAGTGCACGTAGAATCTAAGATAACATTAGCCTCCCGAAGTAGTATCTCGCGGCGTTTCGAGCTGAGGTAAGCTGATGCCCAAAAGTGATTTATATTAGGATTTATAAAATCTTCGTTTGCCCTGCGCGGAATCTATGTTTAATTAGGAATATCATTTTATGCATTTCTATGCATCTCTTTTTGCAGTAAAGCGTTGTGTAAGGGATTATTTAGAAAAAATTGCGTGTCATCTCCTTATTTCGGCCCATTTCGTGTATTTGCCATCCGATATATCATGTGACCACAGTGTTTTTTGGCATACCCTGCAACCCAGTATTTTACACTGCAAAACAGCTAACAAAAGCACGTTGCCGAAGACTCAACAGCTGGCGTATTTTCGAGTATCGTCCTTCCGTGTCGGTCTCAGGCGGTTATGTGAACTTCATAAAGTCAAATTTATCGATGATAATAAAAATATACTTAATTCCTGTCTGAATATTTGGCAGCATAAATAGAAGATCCTCACCTCAAAGATATATAAGTAAATGCACCTTTAAATTATCTGAAAGATGTTCTGCAAATCTTTTTCGGCGCTTTTATCCTCTATAGACACGTTATAGGTGATTTGGAAAAGGTTTAAATATTTTTTTTTTATTTTGAAGCTAATTTAAATACCTATATGTTCCTCACGCATATATAACTTCTCAAATATATAGAAGTTTATTATCGCCTTTTTTATGTGTTTTTATTATCGCGTTTTTTTACTGGAACGAATGGTGGAACTATGACGATTGCACACTTAAACTCTCAGAAAGTGTCCGATTAAGTAGCTTCCGAATTGAGTAGAGCACGAAATACCACTCTGTTCTATTTAACAAAAATCATCAATTAGCGAGGGTGATGCTCATTTGCAAATTAAATTGACCGGCATTTTGTCAAGAGCAAACCACAACATCCAGGCTATGCCAGTTTATCCAATATAAGATAATGTACACATGGGTAAGCACTGTTTTAGGTCAGATTCGATCTGAGTACGAAGGTCCCCATAGATTAGAGTGAACTATTTCAGCCACTCCTTTTCGCATGACTCGTCGCCCGCATCATGGTGCTGAGAGCAAACAATGCTAGTTAGAAAAACAAGCATTGCAACTGTCGCTTAGTGTTTCTATAAAATATAGACTGGAAGGACTTGTCCCGTGACTTTCGTGACATTTTGAAAATTATATTGCCTTAAGCTCAGTCGTCTCGTCATCATATATATATATATATTGTGAAAGGTATTCCGTAAAACACATTTTATGGTATATATGGCGACGAGGTGCCCATTTCATGATTTTATTCACTGTAATTAATTCCTTAGTTCAAGGGCAAAACCACGATTCAACATCTGATACTGCGATACAAAGTTGTACCAATCACGGGTATTTTAGGCAACCTACTTCACTTCGCGAAAACATTTCGATTCAGGTACAATGTATGTGACTCTGGTAAACGAAAAGATGTTGAGTCGTATAAACTCGTCGTTTTGTATGTTAATGTAAATTTTCTTTTCTTGTTGTGTAGGAATAAATAACAGAATTTTATAATGTTTGTACCTGAAAATAAAACTGGATTGAACAAACGATAAAAAAAAGAAGAAAACTATATACTGTAAAGACTTATTTTTCGTGGGCTCAATATTTCGCGATTTAGGTCAAAGCTGAAGTTTTGGAATAATTCGCGGGTTGTAATTTTCTCGACCGCGGTGGAATCTCAATATAAATTTCAATGTGTTTACATTTTACCGAAATTTTTCGCGGGACCCATTTTTCGCGAATTGCAGGCGATTCGCGAAATTCTCAAGAAGAGGTCCTCGCAAAAATCAGATCGTTTACAGCAGTTAGTTTCACGGCCTAAATAGTGCCTATTGACAGAACAACGCGGAAAATAAATTCTCAATTTAGCGGTTCAAACCGGTTCGAACCGGTTTGAACCGTTATTTTTTGCGCCCGGAACTGAACCGGAACTGAACCGAAAGCCGTGAACCCGAACCCGAACCGAACCGATAAAATTATCGGTTCGACACTCTGGCGGCGAGTCATACTTAGTCCAGCATATTTAGTCCGCAGGTGACTGTCGGCGGAGAGTCATACTTAGCTCGGCATACATTTGTTTGTTGATACTGTTAGTCCAGAGGGGCTGATACAGGGTCGAGTTTTAGCACTTAATACGATAGAAAACAAATGTACATATTGGGCCAATATTTTGGCCGCATGCACTCGAATTTAGACACACGACCCACAATAATGCCTAAAAAATGTTGAACACCAAATCAA